AGCTCTCCAGAAAAGTCTGGATGAACTGCATGGATGCAGCGTGTCCCTCCGCCATCCTCATCAGACAAGGCAAAGGTGTAGCGCGGGGAACGAAGAATGTTCCAAGAAGTGTCTCGGCACCGCAGGGCTGCTGGGGCAGCGGGGAACAACGTGGGCTGCGCTCAGGGGTCTGCGCCAGCCTTGCGCTCCCGCTCTGTCCCGTCACTGTCCTGCCGGACACTGGCATGAGCGGTATGACCCGTTGCCTTTTATACGGTGGCCTGGGGGGGTCACCTAGGGCACGTCACAAAGGGCACCATGGTGGGTCAGAAAGGGAACGTCACTGAGGGCACCATGGTAGGTCATAAAGGGCACGTCACTAAGGGCACCATGGTGGGTCAGAGAGGGCGTGTCACTAAGGGCAGCATGGTGGGTCACGACGAGAACGTCGCTAAGGGCAACATGGTGGGTCACGAAGGGCACGTCACAAAGCGCTGGTCACAGAAGGCACCACGGTAGCCCACCACTCAGACCGTGAGGGACAGGGTATTCCTGTGAGGGGCACAAGGCCTGTTCTCCCCGGTCACTTGAGTCCCCCCGGGGTGCCCTGAGCCCCATGTTTCGCTCATGTCGCATGGAATCTTGTTATGGCAAGATAACTGGCGTGTGTCATGATGTTCACAGCCAGACTAGTCAAGGGGTCTCAAAAAGACCATGAGTAGAACTGCACGCACACGTTAAACTGAACGAGAAAAACTTCTAAAGCAGATTTTTTCACTTGCTTTTTCTGTTTTTCAGGTACAAAAAAGCAATGATTAGGCTGCATTTTTAGGAAGAAAATAACTACCAAAAGCTTCAACTAGATTTTGAAAATATTCTGTTTCTCTGGATGATAACCAGCAAGTTTTCTGCAGCAATGAGCTCTGCCATTTAGACTCGAGGAAAAATGTTGCTTGATACTAAGCTTTTCTGGAGTAGCGGGTGTCAATTCAATGTGATTTTTGAAAGCATAAGGAGTCTTTTCTGAAAGTGTTTTATGAGCCTGTCCTCCCAACATGGTATCCCCTCATCGCTGGTACCCTGACAATTTTTATCAGGCGGATGTTTCTTTTGGAAAAATCCAAATTTTTTAGAATAATGTTATGTTTCAGAGAGTATGTTCTGGCATCTGCTGAGCCCTGGGGAGGAACAGCTTAATACTGGTTGATAGGCGAGTTTTGATGGGATCCTGTGATTTCAGATTTCCTGAAGCAGTGACCCTAAGTGCCTCAAAAAGCAGCAAGCAGGGATTTCTGCTTGTACCTATCTCTTCTGGAAAGCCCCAGTTATAATCATCGCTGCTCTGCCACAAAGCTGCTTGATCTGTGGGAAATCACTAAGCCTGTGTGTGCCGCTAGGACCTGTCAGCCCATTGGAGATTATTCTTCCCTGCTTCACAGAGCTGCGTATTAAAGTCTAGGAGATATGTAGACGTCGTGACAGTATGCAAGGAAAACCAATTGAATGACTGGGTCAACTGCTGAGGTGGGGGTCAACTGCTGATTTGGGGTCAATTGCTGAGGTGAGTAGCTGGATAGAGGACGCCTTCAACACCTGAGCGGGGGGAAGCTCAGCGTCCAGGAGCCTCAACTCAGAGCGGCACCAGCCACCGAGGGAGCCTCACGTCCTCGACAGGACTTGCCCAGGAGCCGGCAGCTCAGCTGACGCGAGCAGGGACTCACAGGGGGCGGTGCCCGGAGGAGCGGCACCAGCCCTGGCTGGGTAAAAACCTGCCCCGGGGATCGCGGCGACCAGGGCGGGTGGAGGCAGTTAGCGCGGGCAGGCGGGCGGGATGGGGAACGCTCGCCTCATGACCAGGGCCTGGTCTGGGAGCTGGGCTCTGGGTGCCCCGGCGATGGCCAGCGTAGGCACCCAGACAGAGCCGATGAGAGGGGAGGCTGCAGTGCAGAGGTCGGAGTGTAGAGAGTGCCTGCGCTGGGCTTGTGAGGGGAGGGTGCACAATGGGCAGGGCTGCACTCGGTGCTCCCTGGTGCAGGTCCTCCTGCAGCAGGGGCTGAGGTGCGGGATGCTGTCAATAGACTGCGAGATGTCAGGGAAGCTGAGAGGAAGCAGGACTGCTTGCTGCAGGCCCAAACTGTGCAGGGGCCTCAAGCGTCCCCTATAGTTCACGGAGGAAAGAAGGAGGCCGTTAACCCAGGAAGCTGGGGAACAGCACCAACAAAAAAAAGGAGGAAGAAGACAAAACCAAGGGGCTTCCTCGTAAATCTGTTGTCCCCACCCAGAACCGCTTTGCTGTCCTGCGGGGGGCTGATGAGGAAACACTTGCATCAGAAACAGCCGGCTGGGGTACTGCTAAAGAAGATCACTACTGGTGCTGCCGGGAAAAAGCAGCGGGTCATAGTAGTAGGGGACTCTGAAAGGCACAGAGGCACCCATCTGTCAGCCTGACCCATTCTCAAGGGAGGTGTGTTGCCTACCAGGGGCACGGATCAGAGATGTTGCAGAGAGGCTACCTGCTCTTGTAAGTCTCACTGACTATTACCCACTTCTAGTGATCTATGTGGGTGCTAGTGATACAGATAGCAGTAGCCTGGAGAACATAAAGAAGGACTACAGAGCCCTAGGAGAGGTGGTTAGGGGCTCTGGAGCGCAGACAGTCTTCTCATCAATTCTTCAGGATACAGGGGAGGACCCCAAAAAGGCTAGGAGGATTGGCCAGGTTAATAAATGGTTAGAAGGGTGGTACCATAGTCAGGGGTTTGGGTATCTTGGACACGGGACCCAAGTAAGTAGGCCAGGTCTAGTGGGGTCTGGTGGAGCTGGTCTGATAAAGAAGGGAAGAACAGTTTTGGTAGGAGGCTTGCCAGACTGGTCAAGGATGCATTAAACTAGATGTGTTGGGGGAGGGGGGCATCATTCCATCCCAACACACCCAGTCAGTTGCCAGCACCTATAATAAATGCTTGGAGCAATGTAGAGATACTCCAGCTGCTCCAGCCAATGAGCCGGCTTCATTTGGAGCTTGGCTCAGGTGCCTCTATACAAACGCCCGTAGCATGGGGAACAAACAAGAGGAATTAGAGATGTGTGCACGTCTACGGGGGTCGCAGAAACGTGGTGGGATGGCTCCTATAACTGGAGTGTTGGAATGGAAGGTTGGGCAGAGAAGAGATTCAGAGCAGCCCTGTAGAGAAGGACGTGGGGGCATTGATCAATGAGAAACTTAAGATGAGCAGGCAGTGTGCACTCGCAGCGCAGAAAGCCAACCGTATCCCGGGTTGCATCAAAAGGAGCGTGACCAGCAGGTCGAAGGAGGTGATCCTGCCCCTCTCCTCTGCCCTTGTGAGACCTCACCTGGAGTATTGTATGCAGTTCTGATGTCCTCAACATAAAAAGGAACATCTCCAGGGAAGGCACATTCCTCAGTGGATCAGGGACTCACGGCAGACAGTGGCATACAGTGGAGTTTTCTCGAGGCGGGGAAACCCAGGCAAGCATCGAGACCTGCTGGGAACCGGGTGGGACCACCCTAAGCTCCTGCAAAAGGCAGCGCTGGGAACACAGAGAACATGGCATAGAAGGGTGTGCGGGGAGGACAGGCACCTCTTGGAAGGAGAGACATTCCAAGGCCGCCTGCACAGGTCCGAGCACACATGCCACGTAGCCCTGAAGGAAGAAAGGCGGGCACTTATCAGAGAGCAAATGCTGCAGCTCCAGCAGGGGTGACCTACACCATCTGTGTTGGTGGTGGCCAATGCCTTCGCTCAGATGGAGTGGCTGAAGGGGGTGCCTGCAGTGGAGGGGGTTGTGAGGCACTGGAACAGGATGCTCAGAGAAACTGTGGAGGTGTGGCCCTGACTTTTGTGCACTCTGGCGGCGGTGCTCCCAAAGACCGTGGCCGGGCCGACGAGGGCGGCCGGGGCGCAAAGGCTGCCCGGCAGCTCCTGACAGGCCTTTCCGCGCCGCGTGTGAAGAACACAATGGCCTTGGAATTGTGGTTAGAACTTTAATCCGAAAGACCCATTTTCTTAAGCAGGGCTTAACTGCTGCCTGGCTTTTCAGAGGCAGCAGCACAGCGCCTGCAGGATCCATCTCCGTCTTGGCCGCGCGTGTAAACAGGTGAGGATGTGTATTGTCTGAGATGCCAGGGAGGAGACTTGGGATTCCTCGTGGCTTCTCAGAGCATGGAGGGCTGCAAGAGAAGGAAAGAGAGCAGAGCTGAAACCCACCAATCTGCAGAGACCAGCAGGCATCCCTTCCAGACCATGCCAGCCCCAGCCATCCCTTTCCCTGGTCAGGAGGCGCAGGCGGGGCAAACGGATCACCTGGAAGCTGCTGCTCAGGAATGCAACAAATGCCCCCGAGATGTTCCCTGGAGCAGGACAGGGCATGGCAGCACGCTGCCCAGGCTCTGTCCCCTGCCCCACCAGCCCCAGCACACACAGCACTGTCCCTGCTTACCTTCGCAAACCTCCAGGAGCGTGTCCGCGCAGCTCTCCTTCAGGCACCGAGCGGCCATCCCTGTGCAGAGAGCTCCATCAGACCTGCTGCTGCCCAGCACGCTGCCGGCAGCACGGCCCCGCCTCTGCCGGTTTGGCTGCACCCCTTCCTCCCCTCAGCAGGGTGACCCCAGGGAAGGACAGGACGCAGGGGGAGGTGGCACTGAGCAAGGTGCCACTGAGCCCCGCTGCGAGGGCAGGGGTTGGAGAGGGAAGCACAAGAGCCCCTGGCTGCACAGGCCTTGCACGGGGCAGTCGATGCTCTGGCAGCCACAGGGCTGCTCCTCGCTGCCAGTGCAGCAGATGGGACTGGGGCCAGGCTGCCAAAAGAGGGACTCCAGGGGCCGCGGCTTACCAATGAACCTCACAGCTGCCAGTCGCACGCTGACCTGAGCGTGCTGCAGGTAAAGCAGGCTCTGACGCACATATTCTTCTGCTCTGCTCTGCTCCTGCTCCAGCTGGAAAGAGCACAATGGCCCAGGGCTGACACAGACCTTCCCCAGTTGCCTGGGCCGTTCCCTCCTACCAGCACCCCACACCTCCCCCTTGTTCCTCAGGCCATGTGTGTCTCCCAGCCAGGAGCCCTGTGGGGCTGAGGTTCAGAGACAGCTGCAGGCAGAGCAGGGTCTGGAGCTCCTGAGAGCCCCCTGTGCCACTGCCAGGGCCCAGATGTGCCTCCTGCAACATCCTGAGGGTGGGGAGGTGAGAGGAGCACCCCGTGTCCAGCCTGGGACTTGTCCTCACCAAGCGCTGCACAGTTTGCCATCTCTCCAGTGTCTGCACGTGGTGACTGAGCCATTCCCATTTGAGCACCTTCGCAGCTGCACAGATGGCTTCCTGAGAGGCCTGCAGAGGGGGACAAGGATTGGGGAGATTGTGGACAGGGCCTGAGACCCAAAGGCCTGGCCCTCAGCACTTGCAGGGACAGCTGGGAAGCCCCTGCGGACTCCGCTCTTCAGGCCTTGGTGGTCACGGACTGCTGCTGAGCCCTGCTGGACCACGTAGGGCAGGTGTGGGAAATGTCTGTGTCAGCTGCTCCTGCCCTCACTGATGCCCAGGCCACCCCTGCGGGCTCAGCACACCCTGCCCCGCACCACGGCTTAGGTTTGGAATCCGTACCTTGGCCACGCTCTCGATCTCGTCACTCATGTGCAACATGAGTGGGACCAGGCTCCTCCGCACCTTCTTCTGCATCTGCCGCTTGTCCTTCCAATCCGCCATCTGTATTGCATCTTTGAAGAGGCAGATGGAGAGCTCTTGCGTCTGGCTGCACTCCTGGTAGGGAGGAGGACAGGAGGGCTTCAGTAACAGCTGCTCCCTGAGCCAGGGCGTCAGCGTGGCTGAGGGGAGGGGCCTCAGGTCTCCCAGAGCCATCAGCCTGTCGGGGAGAAGCTGGGCTGGGCTGCAGAGACCAGAAGCCATCCCCACGAGAGCGCGGGGGCAGAAGGAGAGGCTTAGCCCTGGGCAAGCGCTGCCGCCAGGCTGTGCTGCCGGGCAGTTGCTCTTGCAAAGGGCCCGTCAGTGGGACTCAGGTTTCCACAGCAGCCTTACATCATCAAAGAGTTGAAGGAGCTTCTCGGCCAGCTCCAGAGCGATGGAGCTGGCCTTCTTCTTCAAATGACCTATTACGTTTCTGAACGTGCGCAGGGCCTTCATCTTGTTGTCGCTGTGGGCGCTCTGCAGGGCCTCCATCAAGTCTGGCAGCATGACCAGTATTTTCCTTGCCTGTAAGAAGCACAGAATTTCTTTCTTGTGAAGTGGTGAAAGACCACCCAGGCCAAAATGCTCTGGCCATTAAGCACCAGCCTCCTGTCTGGCTGCATGGGCGGTGGCACAGGAATTCCTGCAGCAGCCTCCTGGCAGGCCTTGCCTGTGGGTGCACTGAGGGGATGGGGGCACGTGAGGGGACTTTGAGGGCATTTAGAGCCGTCACCCCAGGTCCCGACTCCCAGCCCAGGTCAAGCCACCGCGTTCCCCACTGCCCAGCACCAGGTGGCCAGCACGGCTTCACTTGACTATGCCCTGCTCACCGAGTCAGGTGACTGTGACAGTGTGACGAGGCCTTGGAGCACCAGGGAGAGCAGCCTTGGAGGCATCAGCAGCTTCCAGATTTCGTACACCCCAGCAAACATTTTTGGTGTCACATGGCTGGAGGCGAGCAGCTGAAACAAAGATGGCAGTGAGAGATGGACCAAGCCTGCAGGGCTCCCTGCACAGTACGGCCCCTGGGTCCCACTGGCAGCTCAGGGCAAGGGCACAGGGGACGGAGAGCCCATCCTGGGGGACACTCAGCGCTTGTGGGACACACCACACTCTTGTCTGTGCTGGCTCCGCCTGTGCAAGCAGAGCACTACCTGGGCAGACAGGGGCTTTGCGCACCCGCACCCAGTCAGCGTGGCCCTGCGTGGCTGGGGCAGGGGAACCTGGTGCTGGGCTGGCCCTAAGGGGCTGTGTCCTCCTCTGGGACCGTATGGGGCAGATGGCAGGGGTGAGGGCCGTGCCCATTTTCCTGGAGAGGCAGGCACGGCCCTGAGCATGAGCAAGGAGTGGGCTGGTTACTCACAGCCAAGAGCTGGATGCAGGCCTCCGCTTTGTAGGTGCTGAATCTCCATGGCACACTCAGGTAGTGGAACCTGATGCTCAGCTCCCTCAGGCTGTTCTCCAAGATGAGGCGCTGGGAGAGCAGCACTTCCCACATGGCCATAGCAACACTGCAGACGCAGAGCACTCTGTCGGCAGGGCCACCTCAGCCACCACACGGTGCCTGGGCCAGTCCTGCAGCAGCCAGGCTGTCCTGCAGCAGCCAGGCTGTCCTGCAGCCCTGGCCCTTCCCGACCCCTTGCTTGGAGTGCCTGGACAGGCAGGAGGGGGCTGAGATAGTGTTCCCCATGGGGTAGGGAGGAACCTCGTGCCAGGACTCGGATCTAACTTGGCCAGCTTTGGCTACTGCAGGCCTGGCCGACCCAGCAGGGGTGGAGAGAGTGGGGGGGTGCAGGGCCCTGCTCCTCAGGGGTGCCCTGTAGTTTTCTGTGGGCCTCCAGCCCCTTCTCCCTGCATAGAACAAACCCACAAGGGCTGTGGGGGTCAGTACCTGTCACATTCTGGAGAGAGATGCACGAGTCGCAGGATCACATCCCCTGGCCACTGCTCTGCCATCATTAGAAGCAGCATGTCCAGGGTGTGCCAGACTGACAGTGTGTTGATGTGCTCCAGGTTATTATAGATGCAGCTAACGATGACTGGCACCTGGAGGGCACACGAGTGAGGGTGGTGCTGCCACCAGACTGCAGCCGTTTCCTCAGCTGCCACTGAAATGGCCGCCCCTCCCATCCTACTCTGCTGGTGTGAAATGGCTTCAAGGTGCCTGAGGCACCTGGGTGAGGCAAGGCCGATGTAGGGAGGAACAGTGCCTGAAAGGGCTCAAGGGCAGGGCAGCCACAGGCTGCTTACCTCCGTCAGCCAGGAGGCAGGTTCTGTCATGGCCACATCCACAATGCTGATCAGTTCCTCCTTGTCGCATGTGCATGAGTCTCTCATGGCCTCGATGGCCTTGACAAGGATGACCGTCTTATCAGGGGGTCGGAGGTCTTCCCCAAATGCCTGCGGGAGGAAGGAAGGCAGGGAAGGCGTCTCACACCGAGTGCCCTGATAGTGCTGCTCAGCTGAGCAGCGAGAGCAGCTCTGGCGAGAGTACCCACAGGAAAGCTGGCAGCAGGGGCTGCAGTCGCTGCAGGGTGGAGGATGAGAAGAGAGGGGCCTAGGGTGAGGGAGGAGGGCTGGGGCCGTGGGCACGGTGTGCTGATCCTACAGAGAAGCGGGGCTTCCTGGTGGCCAGGAGAGCTGGAGCTGCTGCTGGGACACCGGAGTGCAGCCCTCTGGAGTCCCTGCTCCAGAGCAGCAGCAGCCCTCTCACCAGGGACAGTGAGACCATGGCAAGCCTGCTCGTTCTGGACCCCTTTGCTCACACCAGTCTCCTGCTGATGCCCTGGACAAGGCCCAGCAAGGGAGAAGCTCATTACCTTTACAATGCTCCTGGTGCTGCACACGGAAAGCCAGGAGGGTTTCCCAGCTTTCCTTTCGCCTCCACACTGGGGATGCTTTAGATCATCCTCTGGTGATGTCACACCTAAACAAGAGGGGATCACAGGAGGGTCATTAGGACACAGCATTGCTTACCATCAATGATGGCTTTGGCTATGGGGACCATGGAACAGCTGGGTTCTGAGAGGTCCTGAGAAGAGTGGGAAGCAGAGCAGCACAGTACTGGACTTGTGGTGAGCATTCAGCTTCTGCAGCAAACCAGTAGCTGGGATGCTATTGGGAAAAGCTGGGAAAGCAGCTGTGAGGGGCAAAGGAGGTGAGGGAAGAGGGCAATCTCTCCTGGACAGCCTCCAGCAAGTACAAAAAGAATCCACTGCAGTGCTCAGGGAAACAAGCAGGACTACGAGGAGATGTCTGTGTGTGGAGGGATGCAGCCCAACACAGCTTCTCTTACATTTTTGCTGCTGGATGCATCTGCAGAGGTAATGAAGAGTATCCAAAGCCTCATACTGGATCTCCCAGATCTTGCTAGTCCAGCAAACAATGAGATGTCCCAGCAGCTGTCCCAGGAGGCGGTCATGGATAGTGTCACCGTGGGAAGAGCTGTTGTCATCTGTAAGCAAGCTCCAGACCTGGGCAAGGGAGGCAGGATGGGTAGAAGGGCTGAGAGGCAGCAGCTGCGACAAAAGCCCTGAACCCGAGAGTCTGCCCCGGGGAAGGATCCTGGCACGTCAGAGCTCTGCAGGGCCCTCCCAGAGCAGCGAGCTGGGCAGCAGGGCAGGGAGAGCTGCCAGGCCTGGCCTCCCGCCATGCTCCTTGGGCAGTGCTGTCCTTCACAGGACTGGCTTCTGGAAGAAAGGGTGCTGGGGAGGAAAGACTGGGGGAAAAAGAAAGAAGCCGAGACCCTCGCCCAGGGCAGAGCTGTGCTGAATGCCTCAGGCATCTCGAGCTGCAGGCTGCTGCCCACGGTGGGCAGGGAATGGGAGACAGCCTGGCTGGAGGGTGCCTGCCTCCTTACCTGCACCGAGGAAGAGCTGTCCATCAAATCGACCAGCTTCCCAATCCTGACCACAGCCCTTTCACATGCAGCTGCATTCTTAGTGTCGGTGAAAGGCAGCAGCATCTGGAAGGAGAGAAAGTGCTGCTGTGCCCTGGGAGCTGGTGCCTTTGCCAGCAGCAGCAGCAGCACTTCTCAAGTCCCGACTGGACCCATGCAGTTTTTGTGGCCCTGAAGGGAGGCAGAGGCCACCCCAGGGTAGAGTCTGCTTCTTTCTGCGCCCTCCCCGAAAGCACAGGCCTGTGTCCCCTCTCCATGAAGGCTGGGCTTTTGGGCAGCACCCTGCCAGGGGGCGGTGGGTCTGCAATGGGGGAATGGGCATACTGCTCTCTGGGAAGCCAGGAGTGCGGAGCGTCAGGGCTGGGCTCCCTGTGCAGGACAGGCAGGTTCCAGTGGGTCTCTGCCCCAGTCAGACCTGGGCAGAAAAGCAGGAGGGACTGCGAGGCAGGGGAAGAAGGACAGCAGCCGCAGCCACTGCTGCGGTGCCTGAGGAGAGGGGTCAATGCTCCCCACTCCTTTGGTGCGAGGAAAGCTCTGGGGATGGAGCTGGCCCAAAAGTGCCATGGGCCAGGTTTTGCCATGGCACAGAAGGAGGCCGCAGGGGAGAAATGACGTTGACTGCAGCCAGGGGACACGCTGCTCCTGGAAGAGCACGGTGGGCCGTGTCTGGGTCCCCGAAGGGAGCTGAGCACCCTCTCTGCGGTGTGCTGTGTGCATGGTGCTGGGGAGGACACCGTTCACTCCAGAGTGGACACTCCTGTCCCTCCAGAGTGAGGAACAGCCTCTGCGAACCCCGCTCTCTGCCAGTGCCACACCTGCAAGATAATCCTCAGGTCCTTGCAGCCAGGGGAGCTGAGCACCAAGCTCTTAAGCAGGATGTCCATGGCATCCAGGGTCTGCAAGGAGGAGAAAGGTTGTGTCAGTCTTTCTGCAGTCCCTCTCTCCCTGGGAATGGATCTAACTCCCCACGCCAGGGAAGGACACCCCTGCCACCTCTGGTTGGCCAAGGGAGGCCTTGGGGCAGACAAGCTGCGGCGGGCAGAGGAGCCAGTCCAGAGGCACTGGACATGGTGAGGCCCAGGGGAAGGAGATGAAGGGACGAGGGTGGGAAAGCAAAGCTGACACCCTGCCGTGCCTTGGATCTCTGGCTGTGTCTCAGCACGTGGCAGCCAGGGAGCAGCTCTGAGTGCTCCTGACAGCACAACAGCACTTACCTTAAAGTAGAGGAAATTGTCTAGGCCCTGCATGTCTGTTTTAGGAGGAAGCAAGAAGACACTCCTGAAACAGGCCTCTAAAAGGCTTTTCTTCTTGCCCCCCAGTGCCATCTCCACTTTGCTGAAAAGAGAGAGAGAGGGACCTGTGAGACGCGGGTGCTGGGAGCGCTGCCTCCATGCCTTGGCCAGGTGGACACAGACCTCTGGAGCAGAGGCCCCCAAGCGGGATGGAGCCCTGGTGTGTGGGCAGCATTGCCAGGAGGCACCTCCTCCCTCCTTGGCATGGCCCAGGCCGAAGGACAGTCCTGGCAGGAAAGTCTCCCGCCTCCCACTTTTGGAAGCAGCTGAGACGTGGAGGGGCCCTGCAGGATCCCTCTGCTTTCCCCTCCATCTCTCCGCAAGCCGCGAGCAGGGCAAAGAGCAGGCCCTCTGAGGGCACCACTGGACTCTGCCGGGATGGGAGATGCCCATGGGCAGGCCCAGGGCCACGGACTGTGCAGAGGTGTCAGCCAAACCAGGGGTTGGGCACATACCTCATATGGGCGAGGGCAAGCATGGCTTGCTGCCGCACGGCCGTGTGCAGGTGGTCCACGGGCTCCTCTTCCACCAGCGCCTGCAGAACACAACCGGGATGGGACCTGGTGGCCGCAGGCACCAGGCGGCAGGGCTGGTGGAGACCCTCTGTCCCCAGCCCAGCACCGGCCCCCAGCACGGCCCTGCTGCAGGGCTGCTCAGCGACACCCGCATCCCCTCAGGCAGCTCAGTGTCTGTCCGCGCACGCTGGTCCCTGCCCTCCCCCTGCATGGGCCCCGTGTGTCCTCACAGTGTGCCGGCGCCTGGCAACTTGCCCCCTTCCCCAGAGCAGCCGGGGGTCCCCTCACCTCGATGTTCTTTGCCACCTGAAATCGGTGGTAGAACTCCTTCAGTTTCTGTGTGAAGCCCTCATCTCTGGCATCCTTGCTCAGGGTGGAGACGGTCTGCAGGAACCGAATCTTCTGAGCCTCCTCCTGGGCAGCCGGGGAGCAGAGACACAAACGGGCAGTGTGAGAAGGGGCCAGCAGGACTGGAGCACTGGGGCTGCAGTGCTGTGCAGGAGCCCGGGGGTGCAGCCGCGCCCAGCCAGCAGCCCCCAGCAGCCCTGGCAGCAGAGCCGGTGGCCCCGTCAGGAAACGCAGGCACTGCTACCCTGGAAATGGCTGTAATTACCTTCACTGAGCTCTCCAGAAAAGTCTGGATGAACTGCATGGATGCAGCGTGTCCCTCCGCCATCCTCATCAGACAAGGCAAAGGTGTAGCGCGGGGAACGAAGAATGTTCCAAGAAGTGTCTCGGCACCGCAGGGCTGCTGGGGCAGCGGGGAACAACGTGGGCTGCGCTCAGGGGTCTGCGCCAGCCTTGCGCTCCCGCTCTGTCCCGTCACTGTCCTGCCGGACACTGGCATGAGCGGTATGACCCGTTGCCTTTTATACGGTGGCCTGGGGGGTCACCTAGGGCACGTCACAAAGGGCACCATGGTGGGTCAGAAAGGGAACGTCACTGAGGGCACCATGGTAGGTCATAAAGGGCACGTCACTAAGGGCACCATGGTGGGTCAGAGAGGGCGTGTCACTAAGGGCAGCATGGTGGGTCACGACGAGAACGTCGCTAAGGGCAACATGGTGGGTCACGAAGGGCACGTCACAAAGCGCTGGTCACAGAAGGCACCACGGTAGCCCACCACTCAGACCGTGAGGGACAGGGTATTCCTGTGAGGGGCACAAGGCCTGTTCTCCCCGGTCACTTGAGTCCCCCCGGGGTGCCCTGAGCCCCATGTTTCGCTCATGTCGCATGGAATCTTGTTATGGCAAGATAACTGGCGTGTGTCATGATGTTCACAGCCAGACTAGTCAAGGGGTCTCAAAAAGACCATGAGTAGAACTGCACGCACACGTTAAACTGAACGAGAAAAACTTCTAAAGCAGATTTTTTCACTTGCTTTTTCTGTTTTTCAGGTACAAAAAAGCAATGATTAGGCTGCATTTTTAGGAAGAAAATAACTACCAAAAGCTTCAACTAGATTTTGAAAATATTCTGTTTCTCTGGATGATAACCAGCAAGTTTTCTGCAGCAATGAGCTCTGCCATTTAGACTCGAGGAAAAATGTTGCTTGATACTAAGCTTTTCTGGAGTAGCGGGTGTCAATTCAATGTGATTTTTGAAAGCATAAGGAGTCTTTTCTGAAAGTGTTTTATGAGCCTGTCCTCCCAACATGGTATCCCCTCATCGCTGGTACCCTGACAATTTTTATCAGGCGGATGTTTCTTTTGGAAAAATCCAAATTTTTTAGAATAATGTTATGTTTCAGAGAGTATGTTCTGGCATCTGCTGAGCCCTGGGGAGGAACAGCTTAATACTGGTTGATAGGCGAGTTTTGATGGGATCCTGTGATTTCAGATTTCCTGAAGCAGTGACCCTAAGTGCCTCAAAAAGCAGCAAGCAGGGATTTCTGCTTGTACCTATCTCTTCTGGAAAGCCCCAGTTATAATCATCGCTGCTCTGCCACAAAGCTGCTTGATCTGTGGGAAATCACTAAGCCTGTGTGTGCCGCTAGGACCTGTCAGCCCATTGGAGATTATTCTTCCCTGCTTCACAGAGCTGCGTATTAAAGTCTAGGAGATATGTAGACGTCGTGACAGTATGCAAGGAAAACCAATTGAATGACTGGGTCAACTGCTGAGGTGGGGGTCAACTGCTGATTTGGGGTCAATTGCTGAGGTGAGTAGCTGGATAGAGGACGCCTTCAACACCTGAGCGGGGGGAAGCTCAGCGTCCAGGAGCCTCAACTCAGAGCGGCACCAGCCACCGAGGGAGCCTCACGTCCTCGACAGGACTTGCCCAGGAGCCGGCAGCTCAGCTGACGCGAGCAGGGACTCACAGGGGGCGGTGCCCGGAGGAGCGGCACCAGCCCTGGCTGGGTAAAAACCTGCCCCGGGGATCGCGGCGACCAGGGCGGGTGGAGGCAGTTAGCGCGGGCAGGCGGGCGGGATGGGGAACGCTCGCCTCATGACCAGGGCCTGGTCTGGGAGCTGGGCTCTGGGTGCCCCGGCGATGGCCAGCGTAGGCACCCAGACAGAGCCGATGAGAGGGGAGGCTGCAGTGCAGAGGTCGGAGTGTAGAGAGTGCCTGCGCTGGGCTTGTGAGGGGAGGGTGCACAATGGGCAGGGCTGCACTCGGTGCTCCCTGGTGCAGGTCCTCCTGCAGCAGGGGCTGAGGTGCGGGATGCTGTCAATAGACTGCGAGATGTCAGGGAAGCTGAGAGGAAGCAGGACTGCTTGCTGCAGGCCCAAACTGTGCAGGGGCCTCAAGCGTCCCCTATAGTTCACGGAGGAAAGAAGGAGGCCGTTAACCCAGGAAGCTGGGGAACAGCACCAACAAAAAAAAGGAGGAAGAAGACAAAACCAAGGGGCTTCCTCGTAAATCTGTTGTCCCCACCCAGAACCGCTTTGCTGTCCTGCGGGGGGCTGATGAGGAAACACTTGCATCAGAAACAGCCGGCTGGGGTACTGCTAAAGAAGATCACTACTGGTGCTGCCGGGAAAAAGCAGCGGGTCATAGTAGTAGGGGACTCTGAAAGGCACAGAGGCACCCATCTGTCAGCCTGACCCATTCTCAAGGGAGGTGTGTTGCCTACCAGGGGCACGGATCAGAGATGTTGCAGAGAGGCTACCTGCTCTTGTAAGTCTCACTGACTATTACCCACTTCTAGTGATCTATGTGGGTGCTAGTGATACAGATAGCAGTAGCCTGGAGAACATAAAGAAGGACTACAGAGCCCTAGGAGAGGTGGTTAGGGGCTCTGGAGCGCAGACAGTCTTCTCATCAATTCTTCAGGATACAGGGGAGGACCCCAAAAAGGCTAGGAGGATTGGCCAGGTTAATAAATGGTTAGAAGGGTGGTACCATAGTCAGGGGTTTGGGTATCTTGGACACGGGACCCAAGTAAGTAGGCCAGGTCTAGTGGGGTCTGGTGGAGCTGGTCTGATAAAGAAGGGAAGAACAGTTTTGGTAGGAGGCTTGCCAGACTGGTCAAGGATGCATTAAACTAGATGTGTTGGGGGAGGGGGGCATCATTCCATCCCAACACACCCAGTCAGTTGCCAGCACCTATAATAAATGCTTGGAGCAATGTAGAGATACTCCAGCTGCTCCAGCCAATGAGCCGGCTTCATTTGGAGCTTGGCTCAGGTGCCTCTATACAAACGCCCGTAGCATGGGGAACAAACAAGAGGAATTAGAGATGTGTGCACGTCTACGGGGGTCGCAGAAACGTGGTGGGATGGCTCCTATAACTGGAGTGTTGGAATGGAAGGTTGGGCAGAGAAGAGATTCAGAGCAGCCCTGTAGAGAAGGACGTGGGGGCATTGATCAATGAGAAACTTAAGATGAGCAGGCAGTGTGCACTCGCAGCGCAGAAAGCCAACCGTATCCCGGGTTGCATCAAAAGGAGCGTGACCAGCAGGTCGAAGGAGGTGATCCTGCCCCTCTCCTCTGCCCTTGTGAGACCTCACCTGGAGTATTGTATGCAGTTCTGATGTCCTCAACATAAAAAGGAACATCTCCAGGGAAGGCACATTCCTCAGTGGATCAGGGACTCACGGCAGACAGTGGCATACAGTGGAGTTTTCTCGAGGCGGGGAAACCCAGGCAAGCATCGAGACCTGCTGGGAACCGGGTGGGACCACCCTGAGCTCCTGCAAAAGGCAGCGCTGGGAACACAGAGAACATGGCATAGAAGGGTGTGCGGGGAGGACAGGCACCTCTTGGAAGGAGAGACATTCCAAGGCCGCCTGCACAGGTCCGAGCACACATGCCACGTAGCCCTGAAGGAAGAAAGGCGGGCACTTATCAGAGAGCAAATGCTGCAGCTCCAGCAGGGGTGACCTACACCATCTGTGTTGGTGGTGGCCAATGCCTTCGCTCAGATGGAGTGGCTGAAGGGGGTGCCTGCAGTGGAGGGGGTTGTGAGGCACTGGAACAGGATGCTCAGAGAAACTGTGGAGGTGTGGCCCTGACTTTTGTGCACTCTGGCGGCGGTGCTCCCAAAGACCGTGGCCGGGCCGACGAGGGCGGCCGGGGCGCAAAGGCTGCCCGGCAGCTCCTGACAGGCCTTTCCGCGCCGCGTGTGAAGAACACAATGGCCTTGGAATTGTGGTTAGAACTTTAATCCGAAAGACCCATTTTCTTAAGCAGGGCTTAACTGCTGCCTGGCTTTTCAGAGGCAGCAGCACAGCGCCTGCAGGATCCATCTCCGTCTTGGCCGCGCGTGTAAACAGGTGAGGATGTGTATTGTCTGAGATGCCAGGGAGGAGACTTGGGATTCCTCGTGGCTTCTCAGAGCATGGAGGGCTGCAAGAGAAGGAAAGAGAGCAGAGCTGAAACCCACCAATCTGCAGAGACCAGCAGGCATCCCTTCCAGACCATGCCAGCCCCAGCCATCCCTTTCCCTGGTCAGGAGGCGCAGGCGGGGCAAACGGATCACCTGGAAGCTGCTGCTCAGGAATGCAACAAATGCCCCCGAGATGTTCCCTGGAGCAGGACAGGGCATGGCAGCACGCTGCCCAGGCTCTGTCCCCTGCCCCACCAGCCCCAGCACACACAGCACTGTCCCTGCTTACCTTCGCAAACCTCCAGGAGCGTGTCCGCGCGGCTCTCCTTCAGGCACCGAGCGGCCATCCCTGTGCAGAGAGCTCCATCAGACCTGCTGCTGCCCAGCACGCTGCCGGCAGCACGGCCCCGCCTCTGCCGGTTTGGCTGCACCCCTTCCTCCCCTCAGCAGGGTGACCCCAGGGAAGGACAGGACGCAGGGGGAGGTGGCACTGAGCAAGGTGCCACTGAGCCCCGCTGCGAGGGCAGGGGTTGGAGAGGGAAGCACAAGAGCCCCTGGCTGCACAGGCCTTGCACGGGGCAGTCGATGCTCTGGCAGCCACAGGGCTGCTCCTCGCTGCCAGTGCAGCAGATGGGACTGGGGCCAGGCTGCCAAAAGAGGGACTCCAGGGGCCGCGGCTTACCAATGAACCTCACAGCTGCCAGTCGCACGCTGACCTGAGCGTGCTGCAGGTAAAGCAGGCTCTGACGCACATATTCTTCTGCTCTGCTCTGCTCCTGCTCCAGCTGGAAAGAGCACAATGGCCCAGGGCTGACACAGACCTTCCCCAGTTGCCTGGGCCGTTCCCTCCTACCAGCACCCCACACCTCCCCTTGTTCCTCAGGCCATGTGTGTCTCCCAGCCAGGAGCCCTGTGGGGCTGAGGTTCAGAGACAGCTGCAGGCAGAGCAGGGTCTGGAGCTCCTGAGAGCCCCCTGTGCCACTGCCAGGGCCCAGATGTGCCTCCTGCAACATCCTGAGGGTGGGGAGGTGAGAGGAGCACCCCGTGTCCAGCCTGGGACTTGTCCTCACCAAGCGCTGCACAGTTTGCCATCTCTCCAGTGTCTGCACGTGGTGACTGAGCCATTCCCATTTGAGCACCTTCGCAGCTGCACAGATGGCTTCCTGAGAGGCCTGCAGAGGGGGACAAGGATTGGGGAGATTGTGGACAGGGCCTGAGACCCAAAGGCCTGGCCCTCAGCACTTGCAGGGACAGCTGGGAAGCCCCTGCGGACTCCGCTCTTCAGGCCTTGGTGGTCACGGACTGCTGCTGAGCCCTGCTGGACCACGTAGGGCAGGTGTGGGAAATGTCTGTGTCAGCTGCTCCTGCCCTCACTGATACCCAGGCCACCCCTGCGGGCTCAGCACACCCTGCCCCGCACCACGGCTTAGGTTTGGAATCCGTACCTTGGCCACGCTCTCGATCTCGTCACTCATGTGCAACATGAGTGGGACCAGGCTCCTCCGCACCTTCTTCTGCATCTGCCGCTTGTCCTTCCAATCCGCCATCTGTATTGCATCTTTGAAGAGGCAGATGGAGAGCTCTTGCGTCTGGCTGCACTCCTGGTAGGGAGGAGGACAGGAGGGCTTCAGTAACAGCTGCTCCCTGAGCCAGGGCGTCAGCGTGGCTGAGGGGAGGGGCCTCAGGTCTCCCAGAGCCATCAGCCTGTCGGGGAGAAGCTGGGCTGGGCTGCAGAGACCAGAAGCCATCCCCACGAGAGCGCGGGGGCAGAAGGAGAGGCTTAGCCCTGGGCAAGCGCTGCCGCCAGGCTGTGCTGCCGGGCAGTTGCTCTTGCAAAGGGCCCGTCAGTGGGACTCAGGTTTCCACAGCAGCCTTACATCATCAAAGAGTTGAAGGAGCTTCTCGGCCAGCTCCAGAGCGATGGAGCTGGCCTTCTTCTTCAAATGACCTATTACGTTTCTGAACGTGAGCAGGGCCTTCATCTTGTTGTCGCTGTGGGCGCTCTGCAGGGCCTCCATCAAGTCTGGCAGCATGACCAGTATTTTCCTTGCCTGTAAGAAGCACAGAATTTCTTTCTTGTGAAGTGGTGAAAGACCACCCAGGCCAAAATGCTCTGGCCATTAAGCACCAGCCTCCTGTCCGGCTGCATGGGCGGTGGCACAGGAATTCCTGCAGCAGCCTCCTGGCAGGCCTTGCCTGTGGGCGCACTGAGGGGATGGGGGCACGTGAGGGGACTTTGAGGGCATCTAGAGCCGTCACCCCAGGTCCCGACTCCCAGCCCAGGTCAAGCCACCGCGTTCCCCACTGCCCAGCACCAGGTGGCCAGCACGGCTTCACTTGACTATGCCCTGCTCACCGAGTCAGGTGACTGTGACAGTGTGACGAGGCCTTGGAGCACCAGGGAGAGCAGCCTTGGAGGCATCAGCAGCTTCCGGATTTCGTACACCCCAGCAAACATTTTTGGTGTCACATGGCTGGAGGCGAGCAGCTGAAACAAAGATGGCAGTGAGAGATGGACCAAGCCTGCAGGGCTCCCTGCACAGTACGGCCCCTGGGTCCCACTGGCAGCTCAGGGCAAGGGCACAGGGGACGGAGAGCCCATCCTGGGGGACACTCAGCGCTTGTGGGACACACCACACGCTTGTCTGTGCTAGCTCCGCCTGTGCAAGCAGAGCACTACCTGGGCAGACAGGGGCTTTGCGCACCCGCACCCAGTCAGCGTGGCCCTGCGTGGCTGGGGCAGGGGAACCTGGTGCTGGACTGGCCCTAAGGGGCTGTGTCCTCCTCTGGGACCGTATGGGGCAGATGGCAGGGGTGAGGGCCGTGCCCATTTTCCTGGAGAGGCAGGCACGGCCCTGAGCATGAGCAAGGAGTGGGCTGGTTACTCACAGCCAAGAGCTGGATGCAGGCCTCCGCTTTGTAGGTGCTGAATCTCCATGGCACACTCAGGTAGTGGAACCTGATGCTCAGCTCCCTCAGGCTGTTCTCCAAGATGAGGCGCTGGGAGAGCAGCACTTCCCACATGGCCATAGCAACACTGCAGACGCAGAGCACTCTGTCGGCAGGGCCACCTCAGCCACCACACGGTGCCTGGGCCAGTCCTGCAGCAGCCAGGCTGTCCTGCAGCAGCCAGGCTGTCCTGCAGCCCTGGCCCTTCCCGACCCCTTGCTTGGAGTGCCTGGACAGGCAGGAGGGGGCTGAGATAGTGTTCCCCATGGGGTAGGGAGGAACCTCGTGCCGGGACTCGGATCTAACTTGGCTAGCTTTGGCTACTGCAGGCCTGGCCGACCCAGCAGGGGTGGAGAGAGTGGGGGGGTGCAGGGCCCTGCTCCTCAGGGGTGCCCTGTAGTTTTCTGTGGGCCTCCAGCCCCTTCTCCCTGCATAGAACAAACCCACAAGGGCTGTGGGGGTCAGTACCTGTCACATTCTGGAGAGAGATGCACGAGTCGCAGGATCACATCCCCTGGCCACTGCTCTGCCATCATTAGAAGCAGCATGTCCAGGGTGTGCCAGACTGACAGTGTGTTGATGTGCTCCAGGTTATTATAGATGCAGCTAACGATGACTGGCACCTGGAGGGCACACGAGTGAGGGTGGTGCTGCCACCAGACTGCAGCCGTTTCCTCAGCTGCCACTGAAATGGCCGCCCCTCCCATCCTACTCTGCTGGTGTGAAATGGCTTCAAGGTGCCTGAGGCACCTGGGTGAGGCAAGGCCGATGTAGGGAGGAACAGTGCCTGAAAGGGCTCAAGGGCAGGGCAGCCACAGGCTGCTTACCTCCGTCAGCCAGGAGGCAGGTTCTGTCATGGCCACATCCACAATGCTGATCAGTTCCTCCTTGTCGCATGTGCATGAGTCTCTCATGGCCTCGATGGCCTTGACAAGGATGACCGTCTTATCAGGGGGTCGGAGGTCTTCCCCAAATGCCTGCGGGAGGAAGGAAGGCAGGGAAGGCGTCTCACACCGAGTGCCCTGATAGTGCTGCTCAGCTGAGCAGCGAGAGCAGCTCTGGCGAGAGTACCCACAGGAAAGCTGGCAGCAGGGGCTGCAGTCGCTGCAGGGTGGAGGATGAGAAGAGAGGGGCCTAGGGTGAGGGAGGAGGGCTGGGGCCGTGGGCACGGTGTGCTGATCCTACAGAGAAGCGGGGCTTCCTGGTGGCCAGGAGAGCTGGAGCTGCTGCTGGGACACCGGAGTGCAGCCCTCTGGAGTCCCTGCTCCAGAGCAGCAGCAGCCCTCTCACCAGGGACAGTGAGACCATGGCAAGCCTGCTCGTTCTGGACCCCTTTGCTCACACCAGTCTCCTGCTGATGCCCTGGACAAGGCCCAGCAAGGGAGAAGCTCATTACCTTTACAATGCTCCTGGTGCTGCACACGGAAAGCCAGGAGGGTTTCCCAGCTTTCCTTTCGCCTCCACACTGGGGATGCTTTAGATCATCCTCTGGTGATGTCACACCTAAACAAGAGGGGATCACAGGAGGGTCATTAGGACACAGCATTGCTTACCATCAATGATGGCTTTGGCTATGGGGACCACGGAACAGCTGGGTTCTGAGAGGTCCTGAGAAGAGTGGGAAGCAGAGCAGCACAGTACTGGACTTGTGGTGAGCATTCAGCTTCTGCAGCAAACCAGTAGCTGGGATGCTATTGGGAAAAGCTGGGAAAGCAGCTGTGAGGGGCAAAGGAGGTGAGGGAAGAGGGCAATCTCTCCTGGACAGCCTCCAGCAAGTACAAAAAGAATCCACTGCAGTGCTCAGGGAAACAAGCAGGACTACGAGGAGATGTCTGTGTGTGGAGGGATGCAGCCCAACACAGCTTCTCTTACATTTTTGCTGCTGGATGCATCTGCAGAGGTAATGAAGAGTATCCAAAGCCTCATACTGGATCTCCCAGATCTTGCTAGTCCAGCAAACAATGAGATGTCCCAGCAGCTGTCCCAGGAGGCGGTCATGGATAGTGTCACCGTGGGAAGAGCTGTTGTCATCTGTAAGCAAGCTCCAGACCTGGGCAAGGGAGGCAGGATGGGTAGAAGGGCTGAGAGGCAGCAGCTGCGACAAAAGCCCTGAACCCGAGAGTCTGCCCCGGGGAAGGATCCTGGCACGTCAGAGCTCTGCAGGGCCCTCCCAGAGCAGCGAGCTGGGCAGCAGGGCAGGGAGAGCTGCCAGGCCTGGCCTCCCGCCATGCTCCTTGGGCAGTGCTGTCCTTCACAGGACTGGCTTCTGGAAGAAAGGGTGCTGGGGAGGAAAGACTGGGGGAAAAAGAAAGAAGCCGAGACCCTCGCCCAGGGCAGAGCTGTGCTGAATGCCTCAGGCATCTCGAGCTGCAGGCTGCTGCCCACGGTGGGCAGGGAATGGGAGACAGCCTGGCTGGAGGGTGCCTGCCTCCTTACCTGCACCGAGGAAGAGCTGTCCATCAAATCGACCAGCTTCCCAATCCTGACCACAGCCCTTTCACATGCAGCTGCATTCTTAGTGTCGGTGAAAGGCAGCAGCATCTGGAAGGAGAGAAAGTGCTGCTGTGCCCTGGGAACTGGTGCCTTTGCCAGCAGCAGCAGCAGCACTTCTCAAGTCCCGACTGGACCCATGCAGTTTTTGTGGCCCTGAAGGGAGGCAGAGGCCACCCCAGGGTAGAGTCTGCTTCTTTCTGCGCCCTCCCCGAAAGCACAGGCCTGTGTCCCCTCTCCATGAAGGCTGGGCTTTTGGGCAGCACCCTGCCAGGGGGCGGTGGGTCTGCAATGGGGGAATGGGCATACTGCTCTCTGGGAAGCCAGGAGTGCGGAGCGTCAGGGCTGGGCTCCCTGTGCAGGACAGGCAGGTTCCAGTGGGTCTCTGCCCCAGTCAGACCTGGGCAGAAAAGCAGGAGGGACTGCGAGGCAGGGGAAGAAGGACAGCAGCCGCAGCCACTGCTGCGGTGCCTGAGGAGAGGGGTCAATGCTCCCCACTCCTTTGGTGCGAGGAAAGCTCTGGGGATGGAGCTGGCCCAAAAGTGCCATGGGCCAGGTTTTGCCATGGCACAGAAGGAGGCCGCAGGGGAGAAATGACGTTGACTGCAGCCAGGGGACACGCTGCTCCTGGAAGAGCACGGTGGGCCGTGTCTGGGTCCCCGAAGGGAGCTGAGCACCCTCTCTGCGGTGTGCTGTGTGCATGGTGCTGGGGAGGACACCGTTCACTCCAGAGTGGACACTCCTGTCCCTCCAGAGTGAGGAACAGCCTCTGCGAACCCCGCTCTCTGCCAGTGCCGCACCTGCAAGATAATCCTCAGGTCCTTGAAGCCAGGGGAGCTGAGCACCAAGCTCTTAAGCAGGATGTCCATGGCATCCAGGGTCTGCAAGGAGGAGAAAGGTTGTGTCAGTCTTTCTGCAGTCCCTCTCTCCCTGGGAATGGATCTAACTCCCCACGCCAGGGAAGGACACCCCTGCCACCTCTGGTTGGCCAAGGGAGGCCTTGGGGCAGACAAGCTGCGGCGGGCAGAGGAGCCAGTCCAGAGGCACTGGACATGGTGAGGCCCAGGGGAAGGAGATGAAGGGACGAGGGTGGGAAAGCAAAGCTGACACCCTGCCGTGCCTTGGATCTCTGGCTGTGTCTCAGCACGTGGCAGCCAGGGAGCAGCTCTGAGTGCTCCTGACAGCACAACAGCACTTACCTTAAAGTAGAGGAAATTGTCTAGGCCCTGCATGTCTGTTTTAGGAGGAAGCAAGAAGACACTCCTGAAACAGGCCTCTAAAAGGCTTTTCTTCTTGCCCCCCAGTGCCATCTCCACTTTGCTGAAAAGAGAGAGAGAGGGACCTGTGAGACGCGGGTGCTGGGAGCGCTGCCTCCATGCCTTGGCCAGGTGGACACAGACCTCTGGAGCAGAGGCCCCCAAGCGGGATGGAGCCCTGGTGTGTGGGCAGCATTGCCAGGAGGCACCTCCTCCCTCCTTGGCATGGCCCAGGCCGAAGGACAGTCCTGGCAGGAAAGTCTCCCGCCTCCCACTTTGGAAGCAGCTGAGACGTGGAGGGGCCCTGCAGGATCCCTCTGCTTTCCCCTCCATCTCTCCGCAAGCCGCGAGCAGGGCAAAGAGCAGGCCCTCTGAGGGCACCACTGGACTCTGCTGGGATGGGAGATGCCCATGGGCAGGCCCAGGGCCACGGACTGTGCAGAGGTGTCAGCCAAACCAGGGGTTGGGCACATACCTCATATGGGCGAGGGCAAGCATGGCTTGCTGCCGCACGGCCGTGTGCAGGTGGTACACGGGCTCCTCTTCCACCAGCGCCTGCAGAACACAACCGGGATGGGACCTGGTGGCCGCAGGCACCAGGCGGCAGGGCTGGTGGAGACCCTCTGTCCCCAGCCCAGCACCGGCCCCCAGCACGGCCCTGCTGCAGGGCTGCTCAGCGACACCCGCATCCCCTCAGGCAGCTCAGTGTCTGTCCGCGCACGCTGGTCCCTGCCCTCCCCCTGCATGGGCCCCGTGTGTCCTCACAGTGTGCCGGCGCCTGGCAACTTGCCCCCTTCCCCAGAGCAGCCGGGGGTCCCCTCACCTCGATGTTCTTTGCCACCTGAAATCGGTGGTAGAACTCCTTCAGTTTCTGTGTGAAGCCCTCATCTCTGGCATCCTTGCTCAGGGTGGAGACGGTCTGCAGGAACCGAATCTTCTGAGCCTCCTCCTGGGCAGCCGGGGAGCAGAGACACAAACGGGCAGTGTGAGAAGGGGCCAGCAGGACTGGAGCACTGGGGCTGCAGTGCTGTGCAGGAGCCCGGGGGTGCAGCCGCGCCCAGCCAGCAGCCCCCAGCAGCCCTGGCAGCAGAGCCGGTGGCCCCGTCAGGAAACGCAGGCACTGCTACCCTGGAAATGGCTGTAATTACCTTCACTGAGCTCTCCAGAAAAGTCTGGATGAACTGCATGGATGCAGCGTGTCCCTCCGCCATCCTCATCAGACAAGGCAAAGGTGTAGCGCGGGGAACGAAGAATGTTCCAAGAAGTGTCTCGGCACCGCAGGGCTGCTGGGGCAGCGGGGAACAACGTGGGCTGCGCTCAGGGGTCTGCGCCAGCCTTGCGCTCCCGCTCTGTCCCGTCACTGTCCTGCCGGACACTGGCATGAGCGGTATGACCCGTTGCCTTTTATACGGTGGCCTGGGGGGTCACCTAGGGCACGTCACAAAGGGCACCATGGTGGGTCAGAAAGGGAACGTCACTGAGGGCACCATGGTAGGTCATAAAGGGCACGTCACTAAGGGCACCATGGTGGGTCAGAGAGGGCGTGTCACTAAGGGCAGCATGGTGGGTCACGACGAGAACGTCGCTAAGGGCAACATGGTGGGTCACGAAGGGCACGTCACAAAGCGCTGGTCACAGAAGGCACCACGGTAGCCCACCACTCAGACCGTGAGGGACAGGGTATTCCTGTGAGGGGCACAAGGCCTGTTCTCCCCTGGTCACTTGAGTCCCCCCGGGGTGCCCTGAGCCCCATGTTTCGCTCATGTCGCATGGAATCTTGTTATGGCAAGATAACTGGCGTGTGTCATGATGTTCACAGCCAGACTAGTCAAGGGGTCTCAAAAAGACCATGAGTAGAACTGCACGCACACGTTAAACTGAACGAGAAAAACTTCTAAAGCAGATTTTTTCACTTGCTTTTTCTGTTTTTCAGGTACAAAAAAGCAATGATTAGGCTGCATTTTTAGGAAGAAAATAACTACCAAAAGCTTCAACTAGATTTTGAAAATATTCTGTTTCTCTGGATGATAACCAGCAAGTTTTCTGCAGCAATGAGCTCTGCCATTTAGACTCGAGGAAAAATGTTGCTTGATACTAAGCTTTTCTGGAGTAGCGGGTGTCAATTCAATGTGATTTTTGAAAGCATAAGGAGTCTTTTCTGAAAGTGTTTTATGAGCCTGTCCTCCCAACATGGTATCCCCTCATCGCTGGTACCCTGACAATTTTTATCAGGCGGATGTTTCTTTTGGAAAAATCCAAATTTTTTAGAATAATGTTATGTTTCAGAGAGTATGTTCTGGCATCTGCTGAGCCCTGGGGAGGAACAGCTTAATACTGGTTGATAGGCGAGTTTTGATGGGATCCTGTGATTTCAGATTTCCTGAAGCAGTGACCCTAAGTGCCTCAAAAAGCAGCAAGCAGGGATTTCTGCTTGTACCTATCTCTTCTGGAAAGCCCCAGTTATAATCATCGCTGCTCTGCCACAAAGCTGCTTGATCTGTGGGAAATCACTAAGCCTGTGTGTGCCGCTAGGACCTGTCAGCCCATTGGAGATTATTCTTCCCTGCTTCACAGAGCTGCGTATTAAAGTCTAGGAGATATGTAGACGTCGAAACAGTATCCAAGGAAAACCAATTGAATGACTGGGTCAACTGCTGAGGTGGGGGTCAACTGCTGATTTGGGGTCAATTGCTGAGGTGAGTAGCTGGATAGAGGACGCCTTCAACACCTGAGCGGGGGGAAGCTCAGCGTCCAGGAGCCTCAACTCAGAGCGGCACCAGCCACCGAGGGAGCCTCACGTCCTCGACAGGACTTGCCCAGGAGCCGGCAGCTCAGCTGACGCGAGCAGGGACTCACAGGGGGCGGTGCCCGGAGGAGCGGCACCAGCCCTGGCTGGGTAAAAACCTGCCCCGGGGATCGCGGCGACCAGGGCGGGTGGAGGCAGTTAGCGCGGGCAGGCGGGCGGGATGGGGAACGCTCGCCTCATGACCAGGGCCTGGTCTGGGAGCTGGGCTCTGGGTGCCCCGGCGATGGCCAGCGTAGGCACCCAGACAGAGCCGATGAGAGGGGAGGCTGCAGTGCAGAGGTCGGAGTGTAGAGAGTGCCTGCGCTGGGCTTGTGAGGGGAGGGTGCACAATGGGCAGGGCTGCACTCGGTGCTCCCTGGTGCAGGTCCTCCTGCAGCAGGGGCTGAGGTGCGGGATGCTGTCAATAGACTGCGAGATGTCAGGGAAGCTGAGAGGAAGCAGGACTGCTTGCTGCAGGCCCAAACTGTGCAGGGGCCTCAAGCGTCCCCTATAGTTCACGGAGGAAAGAAGGAGGCCGTTAACCCAGGAAGCTGGGGAACAGCACCAACAAAAAAAAGGAGGAAGAAGACAAAACCAAGGGGCTTCCTCGTAAATCTGTTGTCCCCACCCAGAACCGCTTTGCTGTCCTGCGGGGGGCTGATGAGGAAACACTTGCATCAGAAACAGCCGGCTGGGGTACTGCTAAAGAAGATCACTACTGGTGCTGCCGGGAAAAAGCAGCGGGTCATAGTAGTAGGGGACTCTGAAAGGCACAGAGGCACCCATCTGTCAGCCTGACCCATTCTCAAGGGAGGTGTGTTGCCTACCAGGGGCACGGATCAGAGATGTTGCAGAGAGGCTACCTGCTCTTGTAAGTCTCACTGACTATTACCCACTTCTAGTGATCTATGTGGGTGCTAGTGATACAGATAGCAGTAGCCTGGAGAACATAAAGAAGGACTACAGAGCCCTAGGAGAGGTGGTTAGGGGCTCTGGAGCGCAGACAGTCTTCTCATCAATTCTTCAGGATACAGGGGAGGACCCCAAAAAGGCTAGGAGGATTGGCCAGGTTAATAAATGGTTAGAAGGGTGGTACCATAGTCAGGGGTTTGGGTATCTTGGACACGGGACCCAAGTAAGTAGGCCAGGTCTAGTGGGGTCTGGTGGAGCTGGTCTGATAAAGAAGGGAAGAACAGTTTTGGTAGGAGGCTTGCCAGACTGGTCAAGGATGCATTAAACTAGATGTGTTGGGGGAGGGGGGCATCATTCCATCCCAACACACCCAGTCAGTTGCCAGCACCTATAATAAATGCTTGGAGCAATGTAGAGATACTCCAGCTGCTCCAGCCAATGAGCCGGCTTCATTTGGAGCTTGGCTCAGGTGCCTCTATACAAACGCCCGTAGCATGGGGAACAAACAAGAGGAATTAGAGATGTGTGCACGTCTACGGGGGTCGCAGAAACGTGGTGGGATGGCTCCTATAACTGGAGTGTTGGAATGGAAGGTTGGGCAGAGAAGAGATTCAGAGCAGCCCTGTAGAGAAGGACGTGGGGGCATTGATCAATGAGAAACTTAAGATGAGCAGGCAGTGTGCACTCGCAGCGCAGAAAGCCAACCGTATCCCGGGTTGCATCAAAAGGAGCGTGACCAGCAGGTCGAAGGAGGTGATCCTGCCCCTCTCCTCTGCCCTTGTGAGACCTCACCTGGAGTATTGTATGCAGTTCTGATGTCCTCAACATAAAAAGGAACATCTCCAGGGAAGGCACATTCCTCAGTGGATCAGGGACTCACGGCAGACAGTGGCATACAGTGGAGTTTTCTCGAGGCGGGGAAACCCAGGCAAGCATCGAGACCTGCTGGGAACCGGGTGGGACCACCCTAAGCTCCTGCAAAAGGCAGCGCTGGGAACACAGAGAACATGGCATAGAAGGGTGTGCGGGGAGGACAGGCACCTCTTGGAAGGAGAGACATTCCAAGGCCGCCTGCACAGGTCCGAGCACACATGCCACGTAGCCCTGAAGGAAGAAAGGCGGGCACTTATCAGAGAGCAAATGCTGCAGCTCCAGCAGGGGTGACCTACACCATCTGTGTTGGTGGTGGCCAATGCCTTCGCTCAGATGGAGTGGCTGAAGGGGGTGCCTGCAGTGGAGGGGGTTGTGAGGCACTGGAACAGGATGCTCAGAGAAACTGTGGAGGTGTGGCCCTGACTTTTGTGCACTCTGGCGGCGGTGCTCCCAAAGACCGTGGCCGGGCCGACGAGGGCGGCCGGGGCGCAAAGGCTGCCCGGCAGCTCCTGACAGGCCTTTCCGCGCCGCGTGTGAAGAACACAATGGCCTTGGAATTGTGGTTAGAACTTTAATCCGAAAGACCCATTTTCTTAAGCAGGGCTTAACTGCTGCCTGGCTTTTCAGAGGCAGCAGCACAGCGCCTGCAGGATCCATCTCCGTCTTGGCCGCGCGTGTAAACAGGTGAGGATGTGTATTGTCTGAGATGCCAGGGAGGAGACTTGGGATTCCTCGTGGCTTCTCAGAGCATGGAGGGCTGCAAGAGAAGGAAAGAGAGCAGAGCTGAAACCCACCAATCTGCAGAGACCAGCAGGCATCCCTTCCAGACCATGCCAGCCCCAGCCATCCCTTTCCCTGGTCAGGAGGCGCAGGCGGGGCAAACGGATCACCTGGAAGCTGCTGCTCAGGAATGCAACAAATGCCCCCGAGATGTTCCCTGGAGCAGGACAGGGCATGGCAGCACGCTGCCCAGGCTCTGTCCCCTGCCCCACCAGCCCCAGCACACACAGCACTGTCCCTGCTTACCTTCGCAAACCTCCAGGAGCGTGTCCGCGCGGCTCTCCTTCAGGCACCGAGCGGCCATCCCTGTGCAGAGAGCTCCATCAGACCTGCTGCTGCCCAGCACGCTGCCGGCAGCACGGCCCCGCCTCTGCCGGTTTGGCTGCACCCCTTCCTCCCCTCAGCAGGGTGACCCCAGGGAAGGACAGGACGCAGGGGGAGGTGGCACTGAGCAAGGTGCCACTGAGCCCCGCTGCGAGGGCAGGGGTTGGAGAGGGAAGCACAAGAGCCCCTGGCTGCACAGGCCTTGCACGGGGCAGTCGATGCTCTGGCAGCCACAGGGCTGCTCCTCGCTGCCAGTGCAGCAGATGGGACTGGGGCCAGGCTGCCAAAAGAGGGACTCCAGGGGCCGCGGCTTACCAATGAACCACAGCTGCCAGTTCGCACGCTGACCTGAGCGTGCTGCAGGTAAAGCAGGCTCTGACGCAATATTCTTCTGCTCTGCTCTGCTCCTGCTCCAGCTGGAAAGAGCCACAATGCCCAGGGCTGACCACCAGACCTTCCCCAGTTGCTGGGCCGTTCCCCTCTACCAGCACCCCACACCTCCCCTTGTTCCTCAGGCCATGTGTGTCTCCCAGCCAGGAGCCCTGTGGGGCTGAGGTTCAGAGACAGCTGCAGGCAGAGCAGGGTCTGGAGCTCCTGAGAGCCCCCTGTGCCACTGCCAGGGCCCAGATGTGCCTCCTGCAACATCCTGAGGGTGGGGAGGTGAGAGGAGCACCCCGTGTCCAGCCTGGGACTTGTCCTCACCAAGCGCTGCACAGTTTGCCATCTCTCCAGTGTCTGCACGTGGTGACTGAGCCATTCCCATTTGAGCACCTTCGCAGCTGCACAGATGGCTTCCTGAGAGGCCTGCAGAGGGGGACAAGGATTGGGGAGATTGTGGACAGGGCCTGAGACCCAAAGGCCTGGCCCTCAGCACTTGCAGGGACAGCTGGGAAGCCCCTGCGGACTCCGCTCTTCAGGCCTTGGTGGTCACGGACTGCTGCTGAGCCCTGCTGGACCACGTAGGGCAGGTGTGGGAAATGTCTGTGTCAGCTGCTCCTGCCCTCACTGATACCCAGGCCACCCCTGCGGGCTCAGCACACCCTGCCCCGCACCACGGCTTAGGTTTGGAATCCGTACCTTGGCCACGCTCTCGATCTCGTCACTCATGTGCAACATGAGTGGGACCAGGCTCCTCCGCACCTTCTTCTGCATCTGCCGCTTGTCCTTCCAATCCGCCATCTGTATTGCATCTTTGAAGAGGCAGATGGAGAGCTCTTGCGTCTGGCTGCACTCCTGGTAGGGAGGAGGACAGGAGGGCTTCAGTAACAGCTGCTCCCTGAGCCAGGGCGTCAGCGTGGCTGAGGGGAGGGGCCTCAGGTCTCCCAGAGCCATCAGCCTGTCGGGGAGAAGCTGGGCTGGGCTGCAGAGACCAGAAGCCATCCCCACGAGAGCGCGGGGGCAGAAGGAGAGGCTTAGCCCTGGGCAAGCGCTGCCGCCAGGCTGTGCTGCCGGGCAGTTGCTCTTGCAAAGGGCCCGTCAGTGGGACTCAGGTTTCCACAGCAGCCTTACATCATCAAAGAGTTGAAGGAGCTTCTCGGCCAGCTCCAGAGCGATGGAGCTGGCCTTCTTCTTCAAATGACCTATTACGTTTCTGAACGTGAGCAGGGCCTTCATCTTGTTGTCGCTGTGGGCGCTCTGCAGGGCCTCCATCAAGTCTGGCAGCATGACCAGTATTTTCCTTGCCTGTAAGAAGCACAGAATTTCTTTCTTGTGAAGTGGTGAAAGACCACCCAGGCCAAAATGCTCTGGCCATTAAGCACCAGCCTCCTGTCCGGCTGCATGGGCGGTGGCACAGGAATTCCTGCAGCAGCCTCCTGGCAGGCCTTGCCTGTGGGCGCACTGAGGGGATGGGGGCACGTGAGGGGACTTTGAGGGCATCTAGAGCCGTCACCCCAGGTCCCGACTCCCAGCCCAGGTCAAGCCACCGCGTTCCCCACTGCCCAGCACCAGGTGGCCAGCACGGCTTCACTTGACTATGCCCTGCTCACCGAGTCAGGTGACTGTGACAGTGTGACGAGGCCTTGGAGCACCAGGGAGAGCAGCCTTGGAGGCATCAGCAGCTTCCGGATTTCGTACACCCCAGCAAACATTTTTGGTGTCACATGGCTGGAGGCGAGCAGCTGAAACAAAGATGGCAGTGAGAGATGGACCAAGCCTGCAGGGCTCCCTGCACAGTACGGCCCCTGGGTCCCACTGGCAGCTCAGGGCAAGGGCACAGGGGACGGAGAGCCCATCCTGGGGGACACTCAGCGCTTGTGGGACACACCACACGCTTGTCTGTGCTAGCTCCGCCTGTGCAAGCAGAGCACTACCTGGGCAGACAGGGGCTTTGCGCACCCGCACCCAGTCAGCGTGGCCCTGCGTGGCTGGGGCAGGGGAACCTGGTGCTGGACTGGCCCTAAGGGGCTGTGTCCTCCTCTGGGACCGTATGGGGCAGATGGCAGGGGTGAGGGCCGTGCCCATTTTCCTGGAGAGGCAGGCACGGCCCTGAGCATGAGCAAGGAGTGGGCTGGTTACTCACAGCCAAGAGCTGGATGCAGGCCTCCGCTTTGTAGGTGCTGAATCTCCATGGCACACTCAGGTAGTGGAACCTGATGCTCAGCTCCCTCAGGCTGTTCTCCAAGATGAGGCGCTGGGAGAGCAGCACTTCCCACATGGCCATAGCAACACTGCAGACGCAGAGCACTCTGTCGGCAGGGCCACCTCAGCCACCACACGGTGCCTGGGCCAGTCCTGCAGCAGCCAGGCTGTCCTGCAGCAGCCAGGCTGTCCTGCAGCCCTGGCCCTTCCCGACCCCTTGCTTGGAGTGCCTGGACAGGCAGGAGGGGGCTGAGATAGTGTTCCCCATGGGGTAGGGAGGAACCTCGTGCCGGGACTCGGATCTAACTTGGCTAGCTTTGGCTACTGCAGGCCTGGCCGACCCAGCAGGGGTGGAGAGAGTGGGGGGGTGCAGGGCCCTGCTCCTCAGGGGTGCCCTGTAGTTTTCTGTGGGCCTCCAGCCCCTTCTCCCTGCATAGAACAAACCCACAAGGGCTGTGGGGGTCAGTACCTGTCACATTCTGGAGAGAGATGCACGAGTCGCAGGATCACATCCCCTGGCCACTGCTCTGCCATCATTAGAAGCAGCATGTCCAGGGTGTGCCAGACTGACAGTGTGTTGATGTGCTCCAGGTTATTATAGATGCAGCTAACGATGACTGGCACCTGGAGGGCACACGAGTGAGGGTGGTGCTGCCACCAGACTGCAGCCGTTTCCTCAGCTGCCACTGAAATGGCCGCCCCTCCCATCCTACTCTGCTGGTGTGAAATGGCTTCAAGGTGCCTGAGGCACCTGGGTGAGGCAAGGCCGATGTAGGGAGGAACAGTGCCTGAAAGGGCTCAAGGGCAGGGCAGCCACAGGCTGCTTACCTCCGTCAGCCAGGAGGCAGGTTCTGTCATGGCCACATCCACAATGCTGATCAGTTCCTCCTTGTCGCATGTGCATGAGTCTCTCATGGCCTCGATGGCCTTGACAAGGATGACCGTCTTATCAGGGGGTCGGAGGTCTTCCCCAAATGCCTGCGGGAGGAAGGAAGGCAGGGAAGGCGTCTCACACCGAGTGCCCTGATAGTGCTGCTCAGCTGAGCAGCGAGAGCAGCTCTGGCGAGAGTACCCACAGGAAAGCTGGCAGCAGGGGCTGCAGTCGCTGCAGGGTGGAGGATGAGAAGAGAGGGGCCTAGGGTGAGGGAGGAGGGCTGGGGCCGTGGGCACGGTGTGCTGATCCTACAGAGAAGCGGGGCTTCCTGGTGGCCAGGAGAGCTGGAGCTGCTGCTGGGACACCGGAGTGCAGCCCTCTGGAGTCCCTGCTCCAGAGCAGCAGCAGCCCTCTCACCAGGGACAGTGAGACCATGGCAAGCCTGCTCGTTCTGGACCCCTTTGCTCACACCAGTCTCCTGCTGATGCCCTGGACAAGGCCCAGCAAGGGAGAAGCTCATTACCTTTACAATGCTCCTGGTGCTGCACACGGAAAGCCAGGAGGGTTTCCCAGCTTTCCTTTCGCCTCCACACTGGGGATGCTTTAGATCATCCTCTGGTGATGTCACACCTAAACAAGAGGGGATCACAGGAGGGTCATTAGGACACAGCATTGCTTACCATCAATGATGGCTTTGGCTATGGGGACCACGGAACAGCTGGGTTCTGAGAGGTCCTGAGAAGAGTGGGAAGCAGAGCAGCACAGTACTGGACTTGTGGTGAGCATTCAGCTTCTGCAGCAAACCAGTAGCTGGGATGCTATTGGGAAAAGCTGGGAAAGCAGCTGTGAGGGGCAAAGGAGGTGAGGGAAGAGGGCAATCTCTCCTGGACAGCCTCCAGCAAGTACAAAAAGAATCCACTGCAGTGCTCAGGGAAACAAGCAGGACTACGAGGAGATGTCTGTGTGTGGAGGGATGCAGCCCAACACAGCTTCTCTTACATTTTTGCTGCTGGATGCATCTGCAGAGGTAATGAAGAGTATCCAAAGCCTCATACTGGATCTCCCAGATCTTGCTAGTCCAGCAAACAATGAGATGTCCCAGCAGCTGTCCCAGGAGGCGGTCATGGATAGTGTCACCGTGGGAAGAGCTGTTGTCATCTGTAAGCAAGCTCCAGACCTGGGCAAGGGAGGCAGGATGGGTAGAAGGGCTGAGAGGCAGCAGCTGCGACAAAAGCCCTGAACCCGAGAGTCTGCCCCGGGGAAGGATCCTGGCACGTCAGAGCTCTGCAGGGCCCTCCCAGAGCAGCGAGCTGGGCAGCAGGGCAGGGAGAGCTGCCAGGCCTGGCCTCCCGCCATGCTCCTTGGGCAGTGCTGTCCTTCACAGGACTGGCTTCTGGAAGAAAGGGTGCTGGGGAGGAAAGACTGGGGGAAAAAGAAAGAAGCCGAGACCCTCGCCCAGGGCAGAGCTGTGCTGAATGCCTCAGGCATCTCGAGCTGCAGGCTGCTGCCCACGGTGGGCAGGGAATGGGAGACAGCCTGGCTGGAGGGTGCCTGCCTCCTTACCTGCACCGAGGAAGAGCTGTCCATCAAATCGACCAGCTTCCCAATCCTGACCACAGCCCTTTCACATGCAGCTGCATTCTTAGTGTCGGTGAAAGGCAGCAGCATCTGGAAGGAGAGAAAGTGCTGCTGTGCCCTGGGAACTGGTGCCTTTGCCAGCAGCAGCAGCAGCACTTCTCAAGTCCCGACTGGACCCATGCAGTTTTTGTGGCCCTGAAGGGAGGCAGAGGCCACCCCAGGGTAGAGTCTGCTTCTTTCTGCGCCCTCCCCGAAAGCACAGGCCTGTGTCCCCTCTCCATGAAGGCTGGGCTTTTGGGCAGCACCCTGCCAGGGGGCGGTGGGTCTGCAATGGGGGAATGGGCATACTGCTCTCTGGGAAGCCAGGAGTGCGGAGCGTCAGGGCTGGGCTCCCTGTGCAGGACAGGCAGGTTCCAGTGGGTCTCTGCCCCAGTCAGACCTGGGCAGAAAAGCAGGAGGGACTGCGAGGCAGGGGAAGAAGGACAGCAGCCGCAGCCACTGCTGCGGTGCCTGAGGAGAGGGGTCAATGCTCCCCACTCCTTTGGTGCGAGGAAAGCTCTGGGGATGGAGCTGGCCCAAAAGTGCCATGGGCCAGGTTTTGCCATGGCACAGAAGGAGGCCGCAGGGGAGAAATGACGTTGACTGCAGCCAGGGGACACGCTGCTCCTGGAAGAGCACGGTGGGCCGTGTCTGGGTCCCCGAAGGGAGCTGAGCACCCTCTCTGCGGTGTGCTGTGTGCATGGTGCTGGGGAGGACACCGTTCACTCCAGAGTGGACACTCCTGTCCCTCCAGAGTGAGGAACAGCCTCTGCGAACCCCGCTCTCTGCCAGTGCCACACCTGCAAGATAATCCTCAGGTCCTTGCAGCCAGGGGAGCTGAGCACCAAGCTCTTAAGCAGGATGTCCATGGCATCCAGGGTCTGCAAGGAGGAGAAAGGTTGTGTCAGTCTTTCTGCAGTCCCTCTCTCCCTGGGAATGGATCTAACTCCCCACGCCAGGGAAGGACACCCCTGCCACCTCTGGTTGGCCAAGGGAGGCCTTGGGGCAGACAAGCTGCGGCGGGCAGAGGAGCCAGTCCAGAGGCACTGGACATGGTGAGGCCCAGGGGAAGGAGATGAAGGGACGAGGGTGGGAAAGCAAAGCTGACACCCTGCCGTGCCTTGGATCTCTGGCTGTGTCTCAGCACGTGGCAGCCAGGGAGCAGCTCTGAGTGCTCCTGACAGCACAACAGCACTTACCTTAAAGTAGAGGAAATTGTCTAGGCCCTGCATGTCTGTTTTAGGAGGAAGCAAGAAGACACTCCTGAAACAGGCCTCTAAAAGGCTTTTCTTCTTGCCCCCCAGTGCCATCTCCACTTTGCTGAAAAGAGAGAGAGAGGGACCTGTGAGACGCGGGTGCTGGGAGCGCTGCCTCCATGCCTTGGCCAGGTGGACACAGACCTCTGGAGCAGAGGCCCCCAAGCGGGATGGAGCCCTGGTGTGTGGGCAGCATTGCCAGGAGGCACCTCCTCCCTCCTTGGCATGGCCCAGGCCGAAGGACAGTCCTGGCAGGAAAGTCTCCCGCCTCCCACTTTGGAAGCAGCTGAGACGTGGAGGGGCCCTGCAGGATCCCTCTGCTTTCCCCTCCATCTCTCCGCAAGCCGCGAGCAGGGCAAAGAGCAGGCCCTCTGAGGGCACCACTGGACTCTGCTGGGATGGGAGATGCCCATGGGCAGGCCCAGGGCCACGGACTGTGCAGAGGTGTCAGCCAAACCAGGGGTTGGGCACATACCTCATATGGGCGAGGGCAAGCATGGCTTGCTGCCGCACGGCCGTGTGCAGGTGGTCCACGGGCTCCTCTTCCACCAGCGCCTGCAGAACACAACCGGGATGGGACCTGGTGGCCGCAGGCACCAGGCGGCAGGGCTGGTGGAGACCCTCTGTCCCCAGCCCAGCACCGGCCCCCAGCACGGCCCTGCTGCAGGGCTGCTCAGCGACACCCGCATCCCCTCAGGCAGCTCAGTGTCTGTCCGCGCACGCTGGTCCCTGCCCTCCCCCTGCATGGGCCCCGTGTGTCCTCACAGTGTGCCGGCGCCTGGCAACTTGCCCCCTTCCCCAGAGCAGCCGGGGGTCCCCTCACCTCGATGTTCTTTGCCACCTGAAATCGGTGGTAGAACTCCTTCAGTTTCTGTGTGAAGCCCTCATCTCTGGCATCCTTGCTCAGGGTGGAGACGGTCTGCAGGAACCGAATCTTCTGAGCCTCCTCCTGGGCAGCCGGGGAGCAGAGACACAAACGGGCAGTGTGAGAAGGGGCCAGCAGGACTGGAGCACTGGGGCTGCAGTGCTGTGCAGGAGCCCGGGGGTGCAGCCGCGCCCAGCCAGCAGCCCCCAGCAGCCCTGGCAGCAGAGCCGGTGGCCCCGTCAGGAAACGCAGGCACTGCTACCCTGGAAATGGCTGTAATTACCTTCACTGAGCTCTCCAGAAAAGTCTGGATGAACTGCATGGATGCAGCGTGTCCCTCCGCCATCCTCATCAGACAAGGCAAAGGTGTAGCGCGGGGAACGAAGAATGTTCCAAGAAGTGTCTCGGCACCGCAGGGCTGCTGGGGCAGCGGGGAACAACGTGGGCTGCGCTCAGGGGTCTGCGCCAGCCTTGCGCTCCCGCTCTGTCCCGTCACTGTCCTGCCGGACACTGGCATGAGCGGTATGACCCGTTGCCTTTTATACGGTGGCCTGGGGGGTCACCTAGGGCACGTCACAAAGGGCACCATGGTGGGTCAGAAAGGGAACGTCACTGAGGGCACCATGGTAGGTCATAAAGGGCACGTCACTAAGGGCACCATGGTGGGTCAGAGAGGGCGTGTCACTAAGGGCAGCATGGTGGGTCACGACGAGAACGTCGCTAAGGGCAACATGGTGGGTCACGAAGGGCACGTCACAAAGCGCTGGTCACAGAAGGCACCACGGTAGCCCACCACTCAGACCGTGAGGGACAGGGTATTCCTGTGAGGGGCACAAGGCCTGTTCTCCCCTGGTCACTTGAGTCCCCCCGGGGTGCCCTGAGCCCCACGTTTCGCTCATGTCGCATGGAATCTTGTTATGGCAAGATAACTGGCGTGTGTCATGATGTTCACAGCCAGACTAGTCAAGGGGTCTCAAAAAGACCATGAGTAGAACTGCACGCACACGTTAAACTGAACGAGAAAAACTTCTAAAGCAGATTTTTTCACTTGCTTTTTCTGTTTTTCAGGTACAAAAAAGCAATGATTAGGCTGCATTTTTAGGAAGAAAATAACTACCAAAAGCTTCAACTAGATTTTGAAAATATTCTGTTTCTCTGGATGATAACCAGCAAGTTTTCTGCAGCAATGAGCTCTGCCATTTAGACTCGAGGAAAAATGTTGCTTGATACTAAGCTTTTCTGGAGTAGCGGGTGTCAATTCAATGTGATTTTTGAAAGCATAAGGAGTCTTTTCTGAAAGTGTTTTATGAGCCTGTCCTCCCAACATGGTATCCCCTCATCGCTGGTACCCTGACAATTTTTATCAGGCGGATGTTTCTTTTGGAAAAATCCAAATTTTTTAGAATAATGTTATGTTTCAGAGAGTATGTTCTGGCATCTGCTGAGCCCTGGGGAGGAACAGCTTAATACTGGTTGATAGGCGAGTTTTGATGGGATCCTGTGATTTCAGATTTCCTGAAGCAGTGACCCTAAGTGCCTCAAAAAGCAGCAAGCAGGGATTTCTGCTTGTACCTATCTCTTCTGGAAAGCCCCAGTTATAATCATCGCTGCTCTGCCACAAAGCTGCTTGATCTGTGGGAAATCACTAAGCCTGTGTGTGCCGCTAGGACCTGTCAGCCCATTGGAGATTATTCTTCCCTGCTTCACAGAGCTGCGTATTAAAGTCTAGGAGATATGTAGACGTCGAAACAGTATCCAAGGAAAACCAATTGAATGACTGGGTCAACTGCTGAGGTGGGGGTCAACTGCTGATTTGGGGTCAATTGCTGAGGTGAGTAGCTGGATAGAGGACGCCTTCAACACCTGAGCGGGGGGAAGCTCAGCGTCCAGGAGCCTCAACTCAGAGCGGCACCAGCCACCGAGGGAGCCTCACGTCCTCGACAGGACTTGCCCAGGAGCCGGCAGCTCAGCTGACGCGAGCAGGGACTCACAGGGGGCGGTGCCCGGAGGAGCGGCACCAGCCCTGGCTGGGTAAAAACCTGCCCCGGGGATCGCGGCGACCAGGGCGGGTGGAGGCAGTTAGCGCGGGCAGGCGGGCGGGATGGGGAACGCTCGCCTCATGACCAGGGCCTGGTCTGGGAGCTGGGCTCTGGGTGCCCCGGCGATGGCCAGCGTAGGCACCCAGACAGAGCCGATGAGAGGGGAGGCTGCAGTGCAGAGGTCGGAGTGTAGAGAGTGCCTGCGCTGGGCTTGTGAGGGGAGGGTGCACAATGGGCAGGGCTGCACTCGGTGCTCCCTGGTGCAGGTCCTCCTGCAGCAGGGGCTGAGGTGCGGGATGCTGTCAATAGACTGCGAGATGTCAGGGAAGCTGAGAGGAAGCAGGACTGCTTGCTGCAGGCCCAAACTGTGCAGGGGCCTCAAGCGTCCCCTATAGTTCACGGAGGAAAGAAGGAGGCCGTTAACCCAGGAAGCTGGGGAACAGCACCAACAAAAAAAAGGAGGAAGAAGACAAAACCAAGGGGCTTCCTCGTAAATCTGTTGTCCCCACCCAGAACCGCTTTGCTGTCCTGCGGGGGGCTGATGAGGAAACACTTGCATCAGAAACAGCCGGCTGGGGTACTGCTAAAGAAGATCACTACTGGTGCTGCCGGGAAAAAGCAGCGGGTCATAGTAGTAGGGGACTCTGAAAGGCACAGAGGCACCCATCTGTCAGCCTGACCCATTCTCAAGGGAGGTGTGTTGCCTACCAGGGGCACGGATCAGAGATGTTGCAGAGAGGCTACCTGCTCTTGTAAGTCTCACTGACTATTACCCACTTCTAGTGATCTATGTGGGTGCTAGTGATACAGATAGCAGTAGCCTGGAGAACATAAAGAAGGACTACAGAGCCCTAGGAGAGGTGGTTAGGGGCTCTGGAGCGCAGACAGTCTTCTCATCAATTCTTCAGGATACAGGGGAGGACCCCAAAAAGGCTAGGAGGATTGGCCAGGTTAATAAATGGTTAGAAGGGTGGTACCATAGTCAGGGGTTTGGGTATCTTGGACACGGGACCCAAGTAAGTAGGCCAGGTCTAGTGGGGTCTGGTGGAGCTGGTCTGATAAAGAAGGGAAGAACAGTTTTGGTAGGAGGCTTGCCAGACTGGTCAAGGATGCATTAAACTAGATGTGTTGGGGGAGGGGGGCATCATTCCATCCCAACACACCCAGTCAGTTGCCAGCACCTATAATAAATGCTTGGAGCAATGTAGAGATACTCCAGCTGCTCCAGCCAATGAGCCGGCTTCATTTGGAGCTTGGCTCAGGTGCCTCTATACAAACGCCCGTAGCATGGGGAACAAACAAGAGGAATTAGAGATGTGTGCACGTCTACGGGGGTCGCAGAAACGTGGTGGGATGGCTCCTATAACTGGAGTGTTGGAATGGAAGGTTGGGCAGAGAAGAGATTCAGAGCAGCCCTGTAGAGAAGGACGTGGGGGCATTGATCAATGAGAAACTTAAGATGAGCAGGCAGTGTGCACTCGCAGCGCAGAAAGCCAACCGTATCCCGGGTTGCATCAAAAGGAGCGTGACCAGCAGGTCGAAGGAGGTGATCCTGCCCCTCTCCTCTGCCCTTGTGAGACCTCACCTGGAGTATTGTATGCAGTTCTGATGTCCTCAACATAAAAAGGAACATCTCCAGGGAAGGCACATTCCTCAGTGGATCAGGGACTCACGGCAGACAGTGGCATACAGTGGAGTTTTCTCGAGGCGGGGAAACCCAGGCAAGCATCGAGACCTGCTGGGAACCGGGTGGGACCACCCTAAGCTCCTGCAAAAGGCAGCGCTGGGAACACAGAGAACATGGCATAGAAGGGTGTGCGGGGAGGACAGGCACCTCTTGGAAGGAGAGACATTCCAAGGCCGCCTGCACAGGTCCGAGCACACATGCCACGTAGCCCTGAAGGAAGAAAGGCGGGCACTTATCAGAGAGCAAATGCTGCAGCTCCAGCAGGGGTGACCTACACCATCTGTGTTGGTGGTGGCCAATGCCTTCGCTCAGATGGAGTGGCTGAAGGGGGTGCCTGCAGTGGAGGGGGTTGTGAGGCACTGGAACAGGATGCTCAGAGAAACTGTGGAGGTGTGGCCCTGACTTTTGTGCACTCTGGCGGCGGTGCTCCCAAAGACCGTGGCCGGGCCGACGAGGGCGGCCGGGGCGCAAAGGCTGCCCGGCAGCTCCTGACAGGCCTTTCCGCGCCGCGTGTGAAGAACACAATGGCCTTGGAATTGTGGTTAGAACTTTAATCCGAAAGACCCATTTTCTTAAGCAGGGCTTAACTGCTGCCTGGCTTTTCAGAGGCAGCAGCACAGCGCCTGCAGGATCCATCTCCGTCTTGGCCGCGCGTGTAAACAGGTGAGGATGTGTATTGTCTGAGATGCCAGGGAGGAGACTTGGGATTCCTCGTGGCTTCTCAGAGCATGGAGGGCTGCAAGAGAAGGAAAGAGAGCAGAGCTGAAACCCACCAATCTGCAGAGACCAGCAGGCATCCCTTCCAGACCATGCCAGCCCCAGCCATCCCTTTCCCTGGTCAGGAGGCGCAGGCGGGGCAAACGGATCACCTGGAAGCTGCTGCTCAGGAATGCAACAAATGCCCCCGAGATGTTCCCTGGAGCAGGACAGGGCATGGCAGCACGCTGCCCAGGCTCTGTCCCCTGCCCCACCAGCCCCAGCACACACAGCACTGTCCCTGCTTACCTTCGCAAACCTCCAGGAGCGTGTCCGCGCGGCTCTCCTTCAGGCACCGAGCGGCCATCCCTGTGCAGAGAGCTCCATCAGACCTGCTGCTGCCCAGCACGCTGCCGGCAGCACGGCCCCGCCTCTGCCGGTTTGGCTGCACCCCTTCCTCCCCTCAGCAGGGTGACCCCAGGGAAGGACAGGACGCAGGGGGAGGTGGCACTGAGCAAGGTGCCACTGAGCCCCGCTGTGAGGGCAGGGGTTGGAGAGGGAAGCACAAGAGCCCCTGGCTGCACAGGCCTTGCACGGGGCAGTCGATGCTCTGGCAGCCACAGGGCTGCTCCTCGCTGCCAGTGCAGCAGATGGGACTGGGGCCAGGCTGCCAAAAGAGGGACTCCAGGGGCCGCGGCTTACCAATGAACCTCACAGCTGCCAGTCGCACGCTGACCTGAGCGTGCTGCAGGTAAAGCAGGCTCTGACGCACATATTCTTCTGCTCTGCTCTGCTCCTGCTCCAGCTGGAAAGAGCACAATGGCCCAGGGCTGACACAGACCTTCCCCAGTTGCCTGGGCCGTTCCCTCCTACCAGCACCCCACACCTCCCCTTGTTCCTCAGGCCATGTGTGTCTCCCAGCCAGGAGCCCTGTGGGGCTGAGGTTCAGAGACAGCTGCAGGCAGAGCAGGGTCTGGAGCTCCTGAGAGCCCCCTGTGCCACTGCCAGGGCCCAGATGTGCCTCCTGCAACATCCTGAGGGTGGGGAGGTGAGAGGAGCACCCCGTGTCCAGCCTGGGACTTGTCCTCACCAAGCGCTGCACAGTTTGCCATCTCTCCAGTGTCTGCACGTGGTGACTGAGCCATTCCCATTTGAGCACCTTCGCAGCTGCACAGATGGCTTCCTGAGAGGCCTGCAGAGGGGGACAAGGATTGGGGATTGTGGACAGGGCCTGAGACCCAAAGGCCTGGCCCTCAGCACTTGCAGGGACAGCTGGGAAGCCCCTGCGGACTCCGCTCTT